TCGATACTTTTGCGTAGTATTGAAGTTGCCAAAATGAATATACAGAGCGACATTGTTGAGTTGGCGGAAGCCAAGTAAATCTCACATATACGCTGAAAATTGTGTACCATTTTTGTGCGTATAATGCATTAATTCATGCAAAGTAAATAGGTCGAGGACTCCTTTACTCTGTCTCAGATTGACTGAGGTACAAGTTGGCAGAATTATGAGAAAGGACGGCACCTTGAGCAATCAGAGTAGTGGATTTTAAATCGGAGGATATGTCATTCAGACTGTCTGGGCTGGATCGATCTAGGCAATAGTGGGAAAAAATACAGGGCAGTTTAAACGAAAGCTCACGATCAATACGTGCGTATGCTCCAAACCACTGGGCTGGACTCGGTACGCCCGTGGTCACCTTCGATTAGGGTATCCTCACATGGCGAAATTGACAGCCGAGCACATCAATGTGGTTTCCATACGAGCTTATTATGACACTAAAACATCTACCAACACAACGGAGATGGCTAACCTCTTGAAGTATGAAAGTCAACATTTTCGCTGCAAGGCGCAATTGGAAATACCGGAATGCGTGGCCGACAGGTGCTGGAGTATCGGCCTGGTGCAGGCTTGCGATAGAATGTACCTGGAGAATCGGTACGGCAACAACGGTAGCTCGTTTTGGGAGTTCCATCCGTTGAAAAGTGGCCGACACAAGATGGTGAATGACAGTGACGGAAGACAATACCCTTTCTACAGCTTGACCAGCAGCAAATTCGAAATCCGCAGGGGCGTCATATCCGACTGTCTTGTGTCACTGACCTACGAAGACCATTTCTACCCCACCGTGGCCTGGGAGCTGCCTTACTATGGAGGCGCTAAGCTGACCGATGTGATTCGGAAGCAGGATTTCTGGGTGTGGCTGGTGGCAATCAAGAGGGCGACTTCACGATCAACTTCGTGCGAGGTCTTCAACGCGAAGCACGACGAAGTGACCATCCTAAAGACGATGCGCTGGCGCTACAGCCTTCACATGACCTTCGATCCATACCAGCCAGTCGGTCGCCGGCTACAGCGAGTCTACGACGTCCAAGAGGAGCAGCCGATCATCCTGGAGACAAATAAGCCGTTGCCTTTGTCCGCACTTAGCCCGCCACATTGCAACGCGGCGCAATCCCTTATCTGGTACCCCAACAATCCGAACGATAAGCCAAAGCTGCTTGTGCCACCCAAACAAATCATTGTGCCCTGGGAAATTTGGGCTAGTGATATGGCTCCAGGCCGGCATCTGAGCACCAAAAAGCCGGAGCAATGCAAGCTAGTAGGTGAATGGACGCAGGATGCCGAGATCGGAGTCGAAGTCAGTCAAGTGGACTCGATTCGCGGAGGCCGGTTGTGTAAGCCATCATCGGTCACGGACATATTGGCTCTTCCGACCGGCAGTTCAAAGAGCGGACGTTTTCCAAGCCGGTCTAGAGGCTAGGCTCAAGTCAATTCGAGTGAAGGGGTCAATTTGGGCGGACCACATAAATAACGGTAGTCTGTGTTTGTGCCTGTTTGGGGGCCTCAATGATCATCCTTCACTGCCTGCGCCATTATTATGCGATTTTTTTAAATATTCTCCTTTTGCCAGAATTTCTTATCCTGGCTAGTGCATTTCACAAGGCTCTCCAACCTCAACTATCCTACATCACAATTCCACTCCCGTGTCTTGGGCCAGCTTTACTTTAGTCCTTTCATAATCTGACATTATAACTTTTTCGTTCCTTTTGCGCAAGGAAATTAGTTTTTTAACTGTTTTTTATCCTGTCTATCGACTTTAAACTGTTAGGCATATAAAAACTCGAAGTGCCAAGCCAGACAGCGATTTTTGAAAGATAGTGGGAGGTAAGCTAGAACAAAACTGGCCCCTCAACACTACATTTGAGAGCAAAATCCCGTATAACAGAGCTTTCCCATGCGAGGACTAATTGAGTCATTGAAATTTACTTTGTCTTTTTAATTTTTACGTCATTCCCTTTAAAATGAACGTTTTGTGAACTAATTTGACCACATAAAACTGGATTTCTGTACTAAAAAATCCTCTTTTTGCCTCCACACTTTGTTGAAACGTTGTCATGAGTGAAAACGGATGAAGCCTCTTTGCTTTGGATTGAACACATGATACGTTCTGCTTAGGCTTCCATCCTTAAATTCGTTTCTAATCGAAACGAAAAATAAATTGTGCTCATCATTGTGAGCAAAATTTGGGCAAATCTATCTACTTTTCGCTTATTGTTTGCTGTCTATATTTGGTGCTTGAAAATGAAGACTTGGCAATAGTTCTAAAGATTTGTATTAATTGTGGCAGTTGTATCAAGCTTGGCCCATAATACCAGGCCTGGGTTCTAATTGAAGAATCGGCAAGGCCAAAAAACGTATCGCCCACTTCTACACAACTCGGGCAAACAACAAATGGACTCGATGAAATGTGGCAACCATTTGGAGCTGAACTTAATACATCCTAATTATAAAAGCTTTATCATCGTACGTGAAAGGGTCAAGGCTAGATCTGACATCAAATTACTTAGCATAAATAGATTTTTATCTGGGCCACAATTTCATCCAAACTATCATAATTGCATGAGAATTTCGACCATTCTCGAAAAGCCCTAGTACCACCCATTTGAAAGATATATTACGCAAAGATAGGAAGGCGAACTAATGGTACGGATAAGATTTAGTTAGTTTATCCAATGCAGCTATGGCAATAAAACGGGGTTCGTATATATGAAGACCAAGATGGTGTGACCTTATTTTTAATTGCAGTCTCCTTTAACCCTATAATGTTGGTTCGACCTTGTTTTCGCAACTTGGTCGGAGCGTCAGGGAGACCTTGTGGAAGAGAAGATTAGTCAAGAGGATTGCCTTCATGTGTCACTGATTAGTTGTAATTCTGTCCTTACGATGGCGCCTTTTACTGACGATGCCGGCGAAACTTTTGGGAATGTACCCAGCCAATGGTCCAACGCTGGAAATCACGAATATTATGGCAGAGGACATGGGACTAAGAATTTTCCACTAGGTCTCTCTGACGCTCCAACCAAGTTGTGAAAACAAGGTCAAACTAACACTATAGAATAGGGTTCGTATGTGAGACCACAGTTAGCCTGCTCTTCATGAGAAGAGTTATGCGAATTTGACCAAGACGACATTCTTAGTTTTGCAAAACTTAGCTGTCTTGGACTTATTTTGTTGGTCTGAACTCGTTTTCGCAACTTGTTCGGAGAAACAAGGAGACCTTGTACGAAATACCTATTCATGCGTCATCTACTATATACGCTGCCATAGCATTGGTGATGATTTCCAGCATCGGACCGTTGGCTTGGTAGATTTCCAAAGGTTTCGCACGCTATCATCAGTGAAAGGCGCCATTATTAGCACACAGTTGCAACTCATCAAAATTAACCAATTTTAAGTTCTGGACTCATTTTGCCGTCCACTGAACGAAGGGTTGCTTGAAGCAAATACTGTTTATCCTTTAAAGTTCTATACAATCAATTGTCAAGTGCTAACAAATAATGATGCTAGCAATTCTGCATTGTAGATTGCTTTTCTATAGTTTGTGACATTTCCTCCCTTCCATGCTATCAGAAGTGTTAACGGGGCCAACAACTTTTACCCATTATGATATATATATATAGGTAAAGTTAAATAAAAAATAAAAACCTTTGGTTAATTCATTGTGAGAGAAGTCGCTGCCAGATAGATTAAAGAACCAGTTCAAACTGTTGTATCGTGTTAAAAATCAGCTTTATTTTCTGTTTGGAGATAATCGAGTTCACATTAATACCCTTAATATTTGTGCCATAGATATCAGCTTGTGTCAATATTGCATAGAATAAAGTTAATGTTAGGCTAATCTGGGGTGCTTGAATCACCAGGTATTGAGCATTCCCTACATGTTTTAACGATCTAGTTTCAGATGGCTCTGTTAATATCCTTATTAAGATGTATGAAAACCAACCCCACTCTATTATTATTCTAAAATAAAAAAAACATACACTAATACATAATATAGATAAATTGCAACAAATGATAAAATATTGATTTGCTGTGCTCCTAAGAAGGACTGTCTCTAAAATATAGAACATTTGCCCTCTAAAACTCCAAAGATGGAGGCCTAGAAACGAAGAGAGAAAAGGAACAAATAGTATTACTAAATGTCTAATTTTGAAACGGCCTAATACAGTATGGGGGAGTTGAAAATAGAAAAACGATCATTGAAAGATGGTGCCAAATAGAACATTCTATTCCCCTCGGGCCACGGCGGAGCGAAGAAAGACAAGGAAAAGAATGTGGCCGATTTAAACACAATATTATTTAGAGGTAGTATGACCTTGTTTTCGCAATTTGGTTATATTAGTAGGAAGACTTAGAGGAACGCACATAGTCCGGAGTCCATTGTATGCATAATCATTTCCCCAATCGAACTGTGGACGTGGTACATTCCCAGACGTTTCGCCGGAATCGTAGTCGACATTGACAGCGAGTCTTGCCAGTCTTAGCACCACACTACAACTCGTCAAGGAGACAAGTGAAGCCGATCTTTAGACAAAACATGTGCTTAACAGTTGTGGTATCTCTCCTTCTGCACTGGGCTATCCACATTTCCCATATCCTTGTATCACGCCTTCACTGTTACAATTTTTACCGTGATTATTTAGATGTAGTGTGGTGTACTTCTTTGAGCGGCATTCATGAAAATCCTCCACACTCAATTCTGGCGTTTTCACGCCCCTTCACCCGTGTGCTGGGAATTTTGATCAGAGTCTGTCATATTGTTACGCAGTCCTTCTTTCCTAGGTCTTATTACAGTCTCCCTCTTGAACCGTAAGATCCGTCTTCTATCTCCTTGGTTCACGTACTTCACTCGACCTCTGCCACGTCATCTATGCTACTCGAGGTGTTATTACCTCGCAACTGCGTCTGGGTGACTAATTCGAGGCTAAAGCCTCTGAGCAAGTTTCATGGACCAGATCTCTGATAAAACCTACTGTCAGCCAACTAGCCTTAGTCTCCGCCGCGTCTATCCTGTTTCTATCCCTAATACCAAGCTTATGACTTCCTATGCTCTAGTATCCTGTTGCCAACCCACAAATT